CTGGAACTTTTCAACGCAAGAGTATGCCGACAACTTAATGATGGACACGACACTACAAAAACAATGATCAGTTATTAAGGTATCCTGTTAAAGTTATTCCAAATGCCAACTTGAAAATTTCGGATATCTTCAATTTTCCCAAGAATAATCGAAATGCAATGCGAATTCATTAAAAGAAACATAACTTAGAATTTGCGTTTTGTCATGTTTTACAGCACATTGAAATTAAGTTATAAAAACCAGAAACTCTCAATATTTTAAAACTCAAACCAAACAGAACAACACTTTTCACAAAAATAGCATTCGTTCATGTGTTCCGCAAGATTTTATCTTTGGTGTATCGGCACAAGAACGTCGCGTGCTGTCTTAAAACGTCACTGAAATAAGTTCATATCTAAACAGGAACAAAACAACCACTGTAAAACCACAAATTAACGTAGTCAAATTAAAAACAGCAGCTGTTGAACGGCTTTATTAGTTTGGAATAATTCATGTTGATGCTGGTCGCCACGACTAAACTCTTCAACAGGAGTTAAGGACTAGGTAATTATCCTACAGATACCTAAATGTTGTTAATTATAATTGTTTTTCTTTTGTTAAAAAGGAGCAATAATAATAAGATCTCGCTATCAGGGAACAAGAAAGGCAAATTTTTCTTAGACAGGGAAACGCATTTGAAACCTTTAACCCCTTCTTATACACAGCGCGAAGCGAAGTTTTATTCGAAAAGGAAGAAACACCGTAAATGCTACAACAAAGATCAAAATGAGGGAGGTTATTCAACTACAGGGATTTGTTTTCTACTGACTACAACAAATGTTACTGAAACAAAACGAAACGAAAAGCACTACGAAAGTTGATCAGCTTGTATTATAACAGCAATACTACGAGCAATGCGCGATATTTATAAAATTAATTGCTGTTTTCCTCCATGCTCTGAAAGGTTGTTTCTGATGAAAGGAAGTTATCGAGATTGCTGCACTGAGCAGATTTAACAGGCCGCTAGTACAGTGGCTGGCAGTTATCATTCAATAACTTCCTGACAACGAAATTATTAAAATTCAAGACAGTGGTTTCTCAAAGCAGACACATGTTACTCAACTAACTCAGAGACTGGAAGGATAGTACAGAGTATAATGCTGCCCATCAGTTGTTAGTTTACAAATGATCGTTTCACTTGAGTTTAAGTTAAAGGAGTTGTTGGTTCTATGTCTACTTGATTCATGTTTCCATTAAGACGTCAAAATATCATAAGCGAAGCTGATGCTTTTCTTTCCACCGTAACATGATACGTTTGTTTTTCTTGTAAAAGTTTGTCCCATGATTCTCTTCTGTTTCTTGCAAACGCTGCTTCGAGGCTTCAATTCAAGATACTGAACCAATTACTACCAATTACTACAAGTTTTGTTTATTGGTGAGTGATGTAAGACCACGTTTTCTTCAGCATGCAAGAAAACAGTGCTGCTTAACTTAGAGTGCTTTTAACGAAACCACTGTGAAACCTGTAAGTCTAATTGAAATGATTTGCGTTTTCACTCTATAGACTGAATATTCAGTTCAAGAGTTACCACGCCACAAAAAGCTGTTCCGAAAATGCGGAGTGCGCAATGCGAGTGTGATAAACTTCCATCATGAATTATTTCTATCCCACATTGACTATATTCCTTTCCTGCACTGGTCCCAGAAGGCTCAGGAATAAGGGTTAACGTTGAATAACGTTAACGCGGTGTTTCTTCTCTGTAAATGTCACAGTCTATGTGCGTTATGTCAAACAAAACTTGCGTGAACCGAAACACGAGTATTAATAGCTTAAGCGAAAATTGGTGATCGCATCTTCATCATTTTGCTCTTACGATTGAAATTTTCTCTACTCAAATCATACTTTCTAATCACCAGGAAGACCCAGGAAAGACAACAGACCCAGATAACTGTTGGGAAGTGTCAGATTCTGGACGTTTAAAAGACGCCTGACAACAAAGCTAACGTACAGAATATTTCAACCTTGTCACAAGATCGAAACAAAATGGCGAACTTTACTTTTAATGGAAACCAAACGACCATTCAAGAATACTCCTGCCCAATAGACGCCAATCGGAAAATACTGATTCTAACTTTAACTGTTCCTCTTTCCATCACGGCGTTTCTTGGAAATGTTCTCATCCTCGTTGCTCTTCAAAAAGTGTCGTCTCTTCGTCCGCCATCGAAAGTTTTGCTAGGTTGCCTTGCGGCCACCGATCTCGGTGTGGGTCTTGTTACACAGCCTCTCCGTATTGGCTATATCATGTCTCCAGAACACTCCAAACGTTGTTACTATGTTAATATACTTTATATCACCTTGGGCTTCATTTTTGGCTCAGTGTCCGTGCTAACACTAACTGCAATAAGTGTGGACAGACTTCTCGCCCTGATGTTGGGGCTAACATACAAACAGACAGTAACATTAAAGAGAGTATGGGTCTTCGCTGTTACCTCATGGCTTTTTAGTGCAGCTCTTGCAGTGGTAATATTTTACAGCTTTCGTATTGCTATAAGCATCATCTGCCTAACACTGTTGTTTTGTATTATAACCTCAACCTCCTGCTACACCAAAATCTTTCTCAGACTTCACCATCACCAAACGCAAGTGCAAGACCAAGCTCACCAGGGACCACCGAGTGGAGAAGGAGTTACCCTGAATATAGCACGATACAGAAAGACTGTGTCTACTGCACTGTGGTTACAGGTGACATTATTGGCTTGCTATTTTCCATTTGGTTTAGTGACAGGTGTTATTGTCAACATTGGATCACGCACACCGTCTCTTAACCTCTTTTGGTCTTTTACGATATCAGTGTTTTTGCTGAACTCGTCTCTAAATCCACTTCTATACTGCTGGAAGATGAGGGAGGTAAGACAAGCCGTGAAGAACACTGTTACACAATTCTGCTGCTTATCAAGTTAACGGTCTGGTGCGGCAATCATCACAAATTAAAAGCAAGTCACAAAAATGCAATCATGTGCAAAGTGGAAACAGAGCAAAAGAAAGCAGTAAGAGATAAAAGCGGCGCATCTTGATCTGAACACAACGGAGCTAAAAGTTAAGTCTGGCCAATAAAAATACAAATTTCTTCTGGGCGGGTTGTTACGATAAGGTTCAACCTTTTCCATGGGTAAAAGGCGGTATAAAAGGCAGGGAACCTGGGCACCAGACAAGACCTCGAACTCAGAGGCACATGCCTCCCGCGCTTTTCAAGATGAACAGAGTTGAAGTCGCTCAAAACGGTTTCCAACATATTTTAGCACTTCTTTGACGAATCACTGCTACCACTCTTTCTAGTTGATGTTATATGATAACATCAAAAACGCCTAATAAAACAAACAGTGGCTATACAAGCTGGATTTCTTTCCCCACGAGGAATAATTCATGTTGTTTCTTTGGAAGCCGCAACTCAATACTTATCTTTCCGTTGGATTATTTAACCCTAACCCTAAACATCGACAGTAACGACCCCTTTTGTTACCAAAACAAGAAGTCTTATCATTTTCGCTAACCTTAAATGATTAAGCTTTCGGAGCGCTGGGTAATGTTGCTGCGATTTTGTGGCTGGTTTATTGAAGAATCCAAGACTCTTCAATAGAAGTAAGTTCCTCTGACATTATACTTCACATTACAGGGAATGTGACATGACATCACCATAAAATTGTTAAATAAATATCAGCGATTAAATTTTCAGCACGTCATGAATGAGGGGCAAAGACAACATCTGAGTCCTCAATGGCATTTGAGCCAATGACCTCCTATAAGTAGGGACATTGTAAAGGTCTAAAAATGTTTGCAACTGGATAAAACCAAAAACCTGNTTGATTTTCCAACTGGAATTTCCGGTTTTCCCATGTAAATGGTAAGTACCCCTGCTCCCAACAGCCCCAAAAAGGTCTTTCCATGTTTAAAAGACTTCATACCTCAAATTTTGCCTGAAGATATCTCTGCGTTGGTTATGTTCCTTCTTGTCCACCATGTTGGCATATTGTTTAGGATGTTTAATGAGGAAGTGTTCAAACAGCTCATGAACTTTTTCCTGGCCATGAGGTTCAAGAAACTCTTGCATTGGATTTGTTAACAGACTGGACATAACTCCTGGTCCTGGGAAACCTTTACAAGTCATTTCTAAGCCAAATGAGAAACAAGACTGTTACAACAACATCTATATTCAACAAATCACGAAAGCATGGTTAAAATGAACATTTACAATCTGACTTTACGGTTCTCCACTGGCCAAGAAGCTGAGTGTAAGAGAATGCTTCTTAAATGAAGGTTTTTTTTAATAGTATGAGCTTACTACCAGAGGAAAGGTCCAGAAAGGGCAATATCTGGCACAAGCAGGTACAGTGTATATTAATATTGTTAATTAATTGCAATCCATCTCATTCTTCCTCAGTATTAAGCCATCCTTGACTTGATCTGTTCATTTTTAACCTCTCAGGGTTTTTTGTTCACCTTAATTGGTATTAACTGTCAGCGACACAGGCATACTCAGAAAAAGACTCAATTTCCAAGCTGTCCAGCTACATGTACAGGAATAGAGCTTAAAACTTTCTGTTTACTAAACCAGATGCCCTACCACTGAGCTCTGAGACTTGTGGAAGCTAACTTTAAAGGCCATAAAAATCTTGGACTGAAATCTTAGACTGAAATATGAAGAGCAGCAGTATAAAGAGAAGAATGAAGGCACTCCATAGAGGCCTTAAGTGACACCTGGTCACAAAACAATGAAACAGATAGGTAGCAGGTAACGAGATGAATGGATGCTTTGAGGTTTCCTCCGATTGGAGTCCCAATTTTATACAGTACAAAAAATAAAGTAGTATATGGAGACAATTACGCCCATTTCAATGAAACAAACCTTTGATGTCAAATATGTCAGGAGGTGGCATCTGAGGAGAGTAGTCTGCATAATCAATTTCATATTTATCATAGTGTGAACCCAGCAGTGTGTCGTAACCAAGCATTTCATAGTGGACAGGGTCTGGAGTTTCAGTCACAGATGCATACATGGTGTATGTGTTCACTTTGTGCTGTTCTGTCATAACGTAAGTCCAAACTGAGCAGTTGCCTTCTCTGCAATCCTGATCAAAACCAGCAAACTGCAAAAAACAACAAATACAGTCAACTCCACCTTAGAGTAAAGAGAAGTTTCCACCTCAGAACACGAGGTCAAAGAAAATAACCTGAGCTAGATATTCTGAGACAGTGGCAAAAACAGATGGACATACGGGCCATACCTACATTAGATCAGTTTATGACAAGCTGCAAATTTGAACAAAACCAATGGAATGGGAAGGTTCACTCATTTGTTTGAGCAAAGTTTAGTGCCTCTAAGAACCATACTGTACAAAATAGGGAAAACTGCAGAACTCTGAGACTGAACAACTAAACTTCTTAATATCATGAATACCGGGTCAATTTGCTAATAAAATACATGTACAATAAATTGCTTCGATCCTCAAATCTTATTGTTGTGCTTAATTTCATTCAAATTGAGGAGTACTTCTTCATAAAGAGGAACACACTTTCCAGGTGTCCATTGACTGTATCATGGTGTCTGTTTTACCTCTTTAGAGAGGCATCATCTTAAGGAGACTTTAGCTCACCATTTTGAAACATAGTGTCGATCTTATAGATGTTTCCATAATAAGAAGAGAGTTGCATGAAAAATTATTAACTTAAGATAACTGGGCTGATTAAAAATAAAATGGCATGTAATTTCCATTAAAAAACAAACTTGTAGTGCTTCGTTAGATGTATTTCAACAAGCATGTCAAATTGATATTAATAATGTTTACTTCCTGAACAAGTCACTTGGAAGTATATTAAGTACCTCAAAGTTAGTCAGGTCAGGTAAAACTGTCTGTATTGCAACAGGAGCATCTTTAGTTCCATTCACTTCAAAGCAGCTCATTACATTTAACTGGGTCTCAGTGGTTTCTGGACAAATCCTGTAACTTGCTCCATATGGTTTTACATCAGCTCGTTGGAAGGTTTTATCCAGTCCTAGGAACAGTGGTACTTTTTCACCATTTATATTCATTTGTTACCATGGAACTAGCATATTGAGGTTCTATTCCTTTCTTAATCATGTAGACTAAGAGTCTTATAGGTCCCAAACCTCCAGTACCTCTGTGTTGTTTTCACATACAGGAGTATTCTTTTTATCTTTTCTGTTAAAGTTACACAATACCTTCATGGGTGTCCTTCAAAAAATATATTCATTCCAGTGTTGTTTCTAAGAAAAGGAAACTACCACAAACTATATATCAATGGAAAAGTTATAAACTGCAGAATTCGGAAAAAACATCCACTGTTTTGGCCGTGCATTTGTTGAGAAAAAAGAAGCTGGAAAATGGAAAACAACCGACTGTCATTCTGCTGAATTAATCGGGTATCAAATGCAAGCAGTAATGTTTAAGAACTGCACTGTCAGTGTTAATCAGCAAGCATCAATCCCTCAAAGGGTGTCAGGGTTTTCCTGTATTCTTATTGGTTATCTTTTTATAGACCTGTAAAGTATCAAATAATTTGCTGACCCTGTTAGGTTCATGCCTGTCACAAGAGAAATATTCAAGATAGAAAAAATCCCCTTGATGCTTAAAGAATGTTCTGGCCAAATTTCATGACAATCTACCAACTCTACAATACCCCATTAATTCATTGAAAGAGAGGTATTCTCATGAAAAACTATTGTGAGTTATCGCCGTTTGAAGAGTTGTAAACACGTCAAGCCTTTACTCGGATGTATGTCAAGAGAATATGCTGCCAGCCAATGAAATCAGGGCACCCCTGGTGTTAACAGCAAGCAAAATGATTTTCATGGGATTCCAAGGCAATAACAGTATAACAGTCACATTCACCTTGTTGAACTTCAGCATGCTTTTTTGGAGATGTTTTCACAGCTTGTGAGGAATGGGAAAAACCAAGAGAAATAAGCGGGGTAAGAGTACAGGTATGAGTATGCACGATCCCTTGCTGCTGTCAGTCAAAGTTTTCTTCAAGTGTCTTTGAGAAATTCTGCTTTTGTCTTCTTCTTAGGTCCTAGCTTCGATTTTTTTTTTTGCTGTCCAAGCAGATTCTTTTAGCATGTTTCATGGCCTCAATAAGGAGTGATAGGTAGCATGGAAGAAAGAATAAATTCAAGAACACAACTGCGAAATAGAGTGTAAACAAAACAATGCTAATCAGGCCCTTGTAATGAGTGCTACCGGAGGAAGCTGTTTCATGCAAAAAGTTGATGCACTATGAGGATTATGACGCCTAACTGTTTTATTAACTTTTATTGAAAAATAAAACCTTTTTTCCCAAATTATTTGCATGCATTTTAAGATTTTTCTTTCATTTTCTGGAAAATGTTAGATTTTATAGCGACCTTTTTGTTTTGCTTAAAAAGAAAAATTCAACAAAAGTAGCACTCTCAAGGTATTGTGTAACCTTAAGGGAATTTGTCAGTTCATGATACAAGGCTCAGTAGTGTTTTTGCTAGTTTGTTGTCATCATGCATAAGGGCTAATATTAAAATCCAAAACTCCTCAAACAGGGACAAAAGGCTAGGCTCCTAAAGGGGTACTAGATATTTGCACAGAAACAGTCAAGTTTTTGTTTTGACTGCCTTAGCTAATCAAGCTGGTACAAATCCACAGATATGGTAAAAGCACATAACATGGCAGGCTGCATCATGACTCTTAAGTGAACCAAGTACTTTTCTTGGCTCACCTCTAGCCAATGAGCAAGCTCTCTTGGAGTTGGGGGAGTTGATGGGGGCTGGGATAGAGAAGCAGCTTGCATGCATCTCTAACAAAAATTCTCAATGTCGCATTCAAAGTTGAGTTAGAATTTTAAGTNAAAAAAAAAAAAAAAATGCAATACAGCAAGACCTCAGTTTGAGGTTTTCACACAAAGACCTCACTCCTTGTTAATAACTTCAAGCCAACAAGAAGGCTACAAACAATAAGCATCCTAAATATTAATTGCTGATGATTTCTGTTTACTTTCTATCACATGCACAGCTGCTTGGTCATGTCGTCCTGTGTTTTTATTATTTTGCCCTTGTTTACAGGCACGAAATGCAGGAAAGAATAAATTTCACTAACATTAAATCTCACCAAAATCAATTTCTTATATGGGATTAGGATCTACATGAAAGAGCAAAAAATCACTTCAGAGTCCTAGGCAGCAAATAAAGAGTCATTTCCTTAAAATTTACTCTCGTCTTAAGAATTCCCTGTAACCTCAGAACTATGAGACTGTTGTCGCATCCTTTCAACTGGATGATAGTTCTCAGATACATAAACCCTGAAGTAAGCTAGGGTGAGTGTGTGTCCTCATAGCAATTTGCTTTTAACTTGAGTATTTTGCAACATCATTTCTCTGTCACAATATTGCTTGGTTACAACTAATATAACAGTATTTTTCACTCTTTTAAAAAAAAAAAGTCAATAATATAAGTTCATAAGCTTTTTAGTTACAGGAAAGTGACGACTCAATCATATGTGCAAAATGTTTCTTTTTTAATAATGTTTTTCATATATATTTTTTATATTTGCAAAACTAGTAGGTTTTACATCAGACAAAGCTTTTATTGTGCGCTCAAAGCATAACAGAGGACTGATTATGTTTGTTCAAATTAAATTCCAAATTGACACCTGCAAATTATAAAGGCTTGACCAAGACCATATGAGAATCAGGCCGCATTTTAGGAAATTTATATTGCAATTTTAGATCAACGTTTGCCAAAATAAAAACCAAAAATCAGCTTCACTGTAATATAGAAAGTAAGGAAACTGTGAGCTAAAAACCAACTAGCTGGCATGTAGCCACAAGGTGCTAGGGTTTTCGATCGCTATCTGGCTACCCTGTGCAAACTTCTGAGTTGTTTGCAACAGTACACAGACCTGCTCTTATAAATATAACTTTAAGACGTGTCGTATTAAAGAGAGGAACTTATTTTGTTTGGCATTTCAACACGTGCCACAGAGGCAACGTTGATGAAATAACCTTACCTGCGTAATAATCAATCCTGCTTCTGCCATTTTGGCCGTCAAACCAGACTTGGAACGGTTCGACAATTTCAGCATACGGCAACGTAAGCACTCCGGACACAGTGTAAACATTGGACCACTTTGGAGGTGAATTCACATCCAGAGACTTTCCAAACGAATGAGACAGAAGACACAAAGCAATCGCATAAAAAAGTGCTGCCATCGTCGGACTTCACTAGCTTGCCCGAGGCTGAAACTCGTGACTGTCACTACATCTCGGCTTACAAGAGGAGTGAAAGCTGGAACCAAGTCGCCGCGCGCGAACTTTGAAACGCAAAAAAGTGCCACAAAATTTTACCCCAGAATTTTCCAGGGAGATGGATAGGCCACTATTCACTGCAGATTAACCCTAGTCCTAACCAAATATTAACCATATCAGTGAGAATAACCCTATTAACTGTTGACTTGTAGACTGCACACTTGAAAGATAGGGTCGGTTTTAGGGTCAGAAGACAATTTTAGAGTTTTCGCTTAGCGTTTGGATAGGGTTAGGACTGACTGTAATGTAGACCACTTGTCAATCTACGTAAATAGTTAAAATGAAAAACATCAGTACTAAAATCACCCATTACGAAGGACTAGGGATACTTCTATCCAGCACATATTTGGCCTATTCGTATTTCGGTCACCCTCTCCACCCTTCCACCTTTTCTTTTCTGCCCCTGCACTATCGTAATTTCCGTAGTGAGGGTGTAAAGTAAGACAAGTGCCATAAGGCGTAACGCTCGAAACGTCTGAAACATCAGCTTTACATACTCACTACGGCGCTCAATTTCAAGTTGATAAACAGCTTTGTGCTTCAGTTACCCGCCGAGGCAGCCCAACAGTTTCTTTAGAAACTACCGTGGAATTGGGAAACCATCGTAAGCGTACACCCTCAGGACGCGAAAAGCTGTTCAGAACTGGAGCTGGCAGCTTACTAGAATAGTTCTCGTTAGCGGCAACTAGAGTTGCAAGGGAATGATGACCGCCAACGGGAGCTTACCCAGCTTACGATAAACATTGGGAATGTATTAAAACAACAAATAACTCTTTGTTTTTGTTTTATTGCCTTGTTCAATGCCGCGATAATGGCGATAACTGCATATACTGTTCTGTGTACTGCAGTACTAGGACTGGTCGTTAGAGATTAAAGAACAAATCATAATTGCAGCCAGCATTAACATTAACATTAATAGTCTCACTGCAGCAAAAAGCAGTGATACAGTTTACAAATGTTTGTAACTATCTTTCAAAGTCAGGCCCAATTCCATTCAAGTGTCCGTTCACGGAGCTTAAAAACAAAGGAAAAGTCTTGATCGTAAGTGCTTGCGGCCGCTCGCGAAAATGTCTGCTTATGGGAATCAGTAAATACAGAGTTTCTATGGGAGTTCAAACGGGATTTTGTGAAGGTGGTCGTAAGCAGAACTGTCCGCTTACGAGAGTGTTCTTTGAGAGTGACTTTGGTCTTAAAACACATCCGCGAAGAATATCTAGAAAGGCGGCAAAGTAAACTGAAAGACTGAACTAAAAACAGAACTCTCGTGTCAATTATCTAGACAAACTTCTGCTTTTGTGGAGTACGTACCAATACAAAATGTTTCAAGAACAGTTTCAAGTCTCTAAAATGAATGCCAGTCGAGTACATGCATGTTCTTCCGTAAGTTATCGAGGACTCGCTTTGCAACACAAAGTTGTCTGCAATGTGTTTCATTCTGGAAAACACCCATACTATTACAAAATTAAAGCAATAAATTTAAAAATAGGATCCAAAGTGAAACATGGTTAGTATCCATGGTGAAACGCCGTGAAAGCGTTCAGTAGCTTTCAGGAGCTTGCAAGTATCCATGGTGAAAAGCCGTGAAAGCGCTGGCTTGCACAGTCTCACGTGATAGTCATGCTGATGCATTTTCTCGACCAATCGTTGCCTGTTGTACCAGTTTGAACCTACGTTGTCGTCAGCTCAACGCGCTCTATTACGTCACAATGGATTCAGGTATAAAAGGACGCGCGTTGACAAGAATCGTCATTTTCTCGTTGTCTCTTGCAGGGTTAACTTTACGACGTTCGCTTGGCAATTTAGAGATTATGGGCTGCGTGTTTAGTAGAAATGAAGCTTTGAGCTTCCGGAAAAGGAGAAAGGTGAGCAAAGTTCAAATAAATCTGAACTTTTCTCAGAATTCGTGAAGAAGTAGGACTTTTCTGTGACTGCTTGTTCAAACGGTTTTTACTTTAAAAAAAAAACCGTCGGGCTTTGTGACGTCAATGCACACGCCATCCAAATTTGAAATTTGCGCGAGATCTGGGGCGAAACTGTATTGCTGGAAACCTGGTGACCAAATAAATTCAAACCCAACGGTCACATCCGCGTGCAACATCTGTTGAACACAGGAAATAAAAGATATGTCCACTACATAAAACAAAACCGTCCGTATTTTGATCACACCGAATACATAATATTTATTACGTCTGCCTTCCGTAGTAACATTGTTCAAACATCATGAACTGTATTTAGATAGGTTTTGAACATCTCCAGAGGTTGCAATTTTCTAGGACGCTACTCTTCTTCATTGTTTATGCGCACTGATTTTTTCGTGGTATTTTCATGAGTTTGTTAGGCTTAAAGATTGTTGAAAGTGCGTCAAACCTACGCGGGCTTTAAAAAGAAAAATAAACGATGTAGACCTTTGTCAAACATTAATCAGGATGACCAGAATCTTAAGGATCGTAACTTACAATGCGACTTCTCAAACATCGCCACCCTTCAAAACTCCGGGTTTTTTTCACACGATCGCTTTTTCTCAGCGTTTTCGTTAGGCAAACGAAACACTTTAACACGCCCAAGGTTCAATGCAATTCATCGTGTCTGCAGTCTTAGTCCAGGAATTTTTCCAGACACGGTACTCGAAACGTTGCTTAAGATCATGATATCACAACTTAAGAAGCGCGTTAAAGCAATCTTTGACAAATAAAAAAAACGCCTGGTTTTGTACCCAGACAGTGAGCGATTTTCACCGCAATCATTTAACAAACACTTAATGCAATATACAATAAAATATACAAGTCAGTGACAAAAAGAAAAACGGCACTTTTATGGACTAATGCAATATTTGTTTGGATGAAAAATCCTCAGGAATCATAGCCTGCCTGTGAACAGGTTCCTGCGAGGGCAAAAACAAAAATGAGGGAAGCTCTCGGTTAGCTTAGCCGCCTTTTTTCTCTTCGTGCTATAACCCAATCAGGAGCCTGTTCCCAGGTTACTGGCAGCACAGGAAAAACCACAAGTGCTAAGATGGAGGAATTTTCTCTCTTAAATGCCGGTTATTGAAACCTTTGTTTAAAATCAAACAATCTGAGATTATTTTTCCGCGTTCTATCGTAAACGCGAAAAGTAGTAGAAGGAGATGTCATACTTTGCAACATTTCGTCCTGTCGTTTGTATAAGATAGGTTAAAAAACACAAATGCTAATTTACCGTCACAAGGCTGTTCTCGACGGCAGATCTTACTGTTTTTCCTGAGTGTTCAAGATTTCATTCATCCGCCAGTGATAGAGCACTCTCACAGCAGCCGTATTGGTGTTCTCGACCAATAGGAAACATTTCATTAATCTTTGCCTGGAACGGCGCCGAAACACGGAGACGTCACGCCCTATTGGAATTATCAAAACTATCCTTAATTGAACGCTTTCTTCCCGATAATATCCGTAATTGGTGATATGAAGAGAGCTTTGTCCGATTGACGTATCTGAATCAGCATACTGATCAGTTTCACCTACTGAAGAAGGGCTAGGTCCGAAACGTTTAGTTTATCAGAACAAATTTGACTCTTTTCAGAGCATATTAGCCTTATATACTGAAGGGAGAGATCGCCAAACCAAACAAAACCCGTGGGCGTTCACCTCCGGCCTATAAACCAATCATACTGTTCACTTCCCATTCCTTTATGTCTGAGTACACTAGTAGTATTTTTAAGGTGACATGATTTTGATTTAGAAAGCGCCTATTTGAATTCAAAGTTTTCATATTCAGGCGAAAAAATACAGGCACAGGTAGCCCTCAGAGAATATCTTTTAATTTTATGACTGCGTTAATTTTGTCTTAAATCTAAATTTCCAGCTCATAATACAAGGCTATATAACACTCCTTCGTCCATTAAAAGTGCTGACGTTTGCAAACCTGTTTCTCCTTAGATACCAAAGATACACCATGGCCGTGAACGCCTTTCAACATCCTTATATGGCGTTCGACCCGTCAAAAAGCCAATACAAAATTACCCCATACCCCCTAAAACAACCGAAAATCACCCCACAACATCTAAGTGTGTCACGAACATTAAACATATATATGAGAATATTCACCAGGAATATTCATTACTTGGTTTTTTGACGGGGGGGAAGAACTTCCCAGACGAGGAATTGGTTTTTAACAAACCAACATCCACATTAAAAGGTATCTACTTTACTTAAACATAATTTATCATATCTACCAGGAGCTATTACTGAGAACTATAACTGAATCGTATGCCTGATGGAGCCCTAGATTTTCTATAAAATACTTTCCAATGTTTTTTTTTCTTTTTTCAATATCTCAAAGACAAAGGCTCGTAACCAAATCGACTTAGTGCCGAAGGTCCGCTTGTGACAGGTTAAGTCCGTAATTTCCATGCAATTATACGAGTCTTCGTTATAAACTGTTACTTATACCACAAAATACACCAACAGGTGCTGAGCCTGTCTCTATTTAAAGCACACCGGTCGTAGTGAGGCCTAAAATTATTTCATTATTTACAGACAGCTGTTAATAGCTAAATCTATCTGTTGTAATATTTCTTACGTAATAAATCTATGTTTGGTACTTTGTTTAAGCAATTCCTGAAGTTCTTCCTCAGCCAATTGATACACCCAACACTGTACTTGGTGATTGTACGAGCCTGGAAGGTAAACATTATCACATATAAAACATCAATAATCATTTTAGACGTTGATATATTAAATCGCAGCTGAACTTATCAGTTAGCTGTAGACATTTAGCTCGTGGTTATCTTTATTCATTGTCGTAAGCCTTAATTACGCATTTTTATGTCCTTGTAAGTACAAGCTTTGATTTTTCTGAGTGTGCATGTAGAACTATTTCTTGCTGTCAGAGTACTCATACTTATCGCGTAATTTTACCTCTTTTTCAGCCATTCATGAAGTTCCTGAGACAATCCCAGCCTCTGTGAAGCTACCGAATTG